GTTTCTGTGGTATTTGTTGATAATTAGATTTTGACTTTTTTAAAACTGTGGACACATCATTATCATGTTCAGCTTCTTATGCATGCAATGTTGTATTTGACCTTCACTGCCCAGGCATCATTTACTGCACATTAAACTACTTTTTGTTTATGTTATACCAGTTAGTATATTATAAAATTGTAGCTAATAATCAATATTTTAATAGTATGTAAGTTTTGAGTTCTTAGTTTTATAAGGCAATATTTAAAAAAATCCTGAATTTCCCCTAGTGACACATTTAACGATAGCCTAATGTGAGCTACACATTCCCCAAGTGATATACAACTTATAATGGTGCAGATAGTAGTTAGACATGGTTCAAAGGGCAATAAAACAATAAAATTTAATTATAAATAGATGTATACTGTTACAAGTTTAAACCTATTTGGGATAAATGATTGTAGTTTCATGTTACAATTTGAAGTCATTCTAGAAAGAAAAACAGGGTAATTTCGATTTTTTTTTTTAGGTGGTTATGAGGTCGGTCAAATTGTCCAACCTTGTGTAAAGTTAGGGTAGATAAAATAACAAATAAAATATGAAGTTTTACTGGAAATAAACATTTGAAATCTACTTGGGAGATTTTAGAGATTACACAAATGAATTTGAGATTTTTGAGATGAAGAAAAGTATTTTTTATCTTAATTTTAAAATCACTTTGCACACGGACTATTCAAAACAAATAATGTTTAAATACTCTATATTCATGGACAAATCTTTTTGTAGTTTATTAAAAATACTTCGCTAAAAATGTGTTTTTTTTTTGTACGTGAAAGCTTATAATGTTCACCGAAAGTCTGCCAAATTTTGTGAAGATATACACACCATATTAAAAGTTAGTAGTATCAAATCTATAAAGACTTTAAATGAGTACAAAGAGGTCTCGTGGTCAGTCAGATCGACTGAGCCATATTGAGAAAGTTAATCAGCTGTACTCTGCACTAGCAGTTATATTAGTTAAAGAACTGAAATGAAAAATAGTTTTGAGTATTTTTTTTGTATCTCATAAAATAATATTTATTGCATCTAATCGGTTTCTTGAAAAGCAATATAATATACTATCATTACTAATATTATTTTTACACGATGTTATTCAGAGATAGGTTGCTTTGTCTGTTGTACCTGAACTGATATTTTTTGTTAGGTTGGAATTGTTGGAAGAACAGGTGCAGGAAAATCTTCTCTGACACTCAGTTTGTTTAGAATAATTGAAGCAGCAGGTGGTTCCATATCCATAGATGATATAGACATTTCCAAAATCGGACTTCATGATCTTCGATCAAAACTGACCATTATTCCTCAGGTAAATTACATAATTACTTAAACCCTGTGCCTGTTTCTTTTCAGTTTTCATAAATATGTGGACTCCTGTTTCTGTGATATTATATTTTCTAAACCATTGGTTTTCAGACTATGAAGTTGTGAAACCCTCTTATTTCATTCCTTCTGTCACAGAATCCCAACCATTAACCTAACCTTAAGATCTAGATGAAAATGACAAACTTTGTAATTGTATTGTTAATGTAAAAATTATAAATAAATATATAAAAATATTAAGATTGAATATCAACTGACTCGTGATTTTTAAAAATATACTTGGTCCCTGATAGGTTAACATTTAAACGTTGAAAAAAACATCACTATTTGTTATCTTTGTGGAGAACCCCTTATGATTCTTCATGGAACCCTGGGGTTTTACGGGACAGTATGAAAACCACTGTTCTAAATTATAAAGTTAAATATTGCATTGTGAAGATGCATCTATACATCTATTTGTATTTAATAAGAATTACTTTTTATATAATATATATTTAGTTTTTTACATTATTTGACACTTACAACCATATGCAACTTTTCTTTCATTTCCTACATTTAACTGTGAAATTAATGAGTTGTATAAATGCTGGAAGTCCTGTTTCTCGTGTCTACAGGATCCAGTTCTATTTTCTGGTACTTTAAGAATGAATCTAGATCCATTCAATATATATTCTGATGAAGAAATATGGAGAGCTTTGGAACACTCCCACTTGAAAAGTTTTGTATCTAGTTTGGAAGCTGGACTTGAACATGAAGTAGCAGAAGGAGGGGAGAATTTGAGGTTTGTTGTCATTCATTCTTATAAATTATAGTGCTCACATAAGTTTTTTGAAGTATTTGTCACGTTTTTAAGATGGTGGATTTAAGAAAAACGTGTAGGAAATTTGTCTTTTATGTATCTTTGTAAATATCAGTTTAGAATTTCTCTTATTTGTAATAAAACTGTTCAAAGAAAAAGAAAATTATTTATTTCCTTGTATATTAACAGTTTATTTTTTGCACCTGTATTAAAAAGAAATGAACACATTATGTTGTAGGTTGTTTTGTATTGAATCCATTTTAATCAAAGCTTCCCTTTTTTCAACAAACTGTGAACTTTAGCTGTTTAATGTTTCTGCGCTCATTAGTTGGGTTAATACAGTAAAATTATGTAGTGTTCCAAGGTAACAACTTGTGTAAATATAATAAGTTAGATTGGGCATTGTTGAGTAGTGTGTGGTATATAACTCGAGAAAATTCTTGTGTCCTTTATATAAGTCAAACACAATAAATAATTTATTAAAAATAGGGCCCAGCCCTAAAAAGACTACATGTTTTGGTGTTCTATGCCACCATTCTCAGGAGTAAAAGTTAAATTTTGATCATGACTTATATAACTACATTCATAGTTTGCATACTTTTAGCACTACCTAGGCTTGAACACACAAAATAGTTTATATAACATGTGTCCAATACTTTGTTTCATCTCAACCTGGACCTCTATGTTCAGCACATTATATTTTTTTGCAGTTTATGTTGTTTCTCTGATATTTAATTCACACTTCAATTGTTACTGATTTATTGATTTAACATTATTCCAGTCTATAACATGAGATATGCTTGCCATGTGTTCTACTGAGGCTGACTCATTTATTTTATATTTTTCTACTGCATTTTTATGTTCCTTGATCCTAAACTTCAAATTTCTGCACATTTGGCTAGTGTAAGCTTGACTAGAGATACAAGGAATTTTATAAATCCTGCATTTATAAAATTGTTCTACTTTATCTTTTATACCTGTGACATAATTATTTAATTTACAACGTGGAGAGAATGTTACACTATAATCTATATATATCTATCTATGTATTATGTTACATACGTTTTTGATAAACTTTGAACATATAGCAAACAAAACTTTATGTTATCAACTTTACCCTTTTCTTTTAACTTTGTACATGATGACATTTTAAACTTATTGCTATGATTTTTGTACAATCACTCAGTGATTTTGGGAGCATAGTCTCTTTCTCTTGCTATGTGTTTGAAGAAAATTAACCCCTATCTTAAGTCATAATTGTGAGTGCAGTCCTTTAAAGCTTTAAATATAAACACTGAAAACGTGGATAATTTTTTTTTCTGTAGGCATGATGACATGATCAGTTGTTATAGCTTAGTAATGTCACTATTCAAGCATGATTAGAATTGTTAGGTTATATATATTCAGTTGATACTCTTTTTTTTTGTATGAACTGTTTTAGTTATTTGTACTGTCCTGGTGATGTGATAATTTGTTTCTATTTGATTGAAAGGAATGTGTGGGTCATCCTTTTATTTTGTTGCAGCTTAATGTGTTTTCTTGATAAGATTGTTTAACAAATAACGAATCTCTTGAGTCTATCAGAACACATACAGTATTCCACCTGTAGGAGGCACACATCTGGTATTATCCCAGATAAGGAGTCCATCGGTATTCATCAAACAAAAACTGAAAAGAAGTGGAGGAGATACATTGATTTTCTTTTTGGTAGTTAGATACATTTTCTACTAAACTCAGCCTGCAGTCATAGTGTTATGGAAATATAATGTGTATAGAGAATCTTGTGAAACTAATAATCAGCAGAAATTAAAAAGACTACTAGCAGATTTTTTGTCAGGATCATATATCTCAGAGGACAGGTATCAGAAACATCACTTCAAAGCAGATGTGGATTGATATGATATAATACCAATTACAAAGAAAAACAAATTGAGAAAGAAGCCATAGAAAAATTACTATTAGTGCTAATAAAAATAGCTGAAGAGAAGCTTATTTAACTACAGACTGGGTATGTTCATAGAAATGTTGGAAGATATGGACAGCCATGACCAAGAGTGGTTAATTTTGGGGAGATGGAAAACCAACTGAGGCCACTATAACCATAGAAAAAGCCACAACAGAAGACTCTTCAGATGAAGCTCTACAGATTCCTATATTTTATTCCAACTTTTCCAAATTTTCTGTGGATCATACTTTACCAAAAATTACAGTTTGTTTGGTTGACTCAGAGATTTGTTGTTAATTTTAGGTGATTATCTTTTACCTGTGGATTTTATATGTTAAAGTTTTATTAGTTAAAGGTTAACATTCAGTATTTTATATGACTGTTTTGTTGTTAATCTTATATATTTTTTCTGTGTGAAATACATTATTGGTGTGCAGTGTGGGACAGAGACAGTTAGTTTGTTTAGCTCGAGCCCTCTTGAGAAAGACAAAGGTTCTTGTGTTGGATGAAGCCACAGCAGCAGTGGACTTGGAAACTGATGACTTAATTCAAGCCACAATCAGGAAGGAGTTTTCTGACTGTACAGTTCTTACAATAGCTCATCGACTCAACACAGTTATGGACTATACCAGGTATCTATGATGTTGTATCATAACATATGCCTTTTACAAAGTCAAGATTTGTCAGTTGTTTGTATGTGTCGGGCTTCAGTTAGAAAATACTAACTTTACAGTAGGTTTCTGCGACTCATTGGTGGTAAATTTCAACCATAAACAAACAGCACACAATCCACTTGTTTTAAAATAATATACAAGTCAAATGTATATACAAATGTTTGTTACACTGTTGGTTATCACACTTGTATCCAGAACTTTAAATAATTGTCTCATTTTTGGCAAAGTTCACACAGGCTGGTTCAATTTCTTTAGAATGCAATTGACAAAACGAATTATTCGTCCTACTTTGTTATTACAATACAATCTGTGATAATTTCACTTCACAAATCGCCACTATACGTTCTTTATTGCTAAACTCACAATCATGCAGTCTAGATCTATCTATCTCTAACTATATTTCCGAAGCGTATTTATACCCTGACAAAGGTCTAGAATGTTCCACACATTACTAGATACTATGATGCAATAATATAATAATCACCAATTCATAACCATTGAATTTCACAATGTATGATTTGTAACCATTTATGTAAACAAACCTGCAATAAACTATCGCTTCTAAAAATAACTGAGTTTAAACTATCTAAATCATGACTCTCGCATTAAGTTTAAACTGAATCAGTCATGTATATTGAAAACTAGTTTGTTATTAACTGTACAAGTACAGAATGCAAGTCTTCAGTTTTTTAAACCAAACTTTCCATGCAGGAGTCAAGTCACCAGTTATCCAGTCACATATCAAGTAATAAATTCCAGGTTGTTTTATGATCCTTAGTATTTTAAAACTCATTGAGTTTGTCACTGTCTTTAATTTCCCTGAAAAAGAGCCAAAGGTCTCGTGAAGTGTTCACCTGTTTTAACCACTTGCATCACAATACAGTAGTGTGTTGTCTGTTAGTTAGTCAGTAGACACTAAAATGATGTCACATAAGAGATGCCTAATGTTGCAATTTACATTGTCATGAAATCAATAAAAGGTTTGCATGCCATGAATCACGAGAAAAATTATGCACTCTGTTGGTTACAACACAGCATGACACATGAACTTCGAAAGCAAGAAATAAAAATATTTGTTACTTTTAATTTTGGTTTTATTTACTCTTGAAACAGAACACTTTAGTTACATAGGCATTATCATTATTGATGAAATAATGTTGGGACTACTCAGTCTCTCCTGTTTAATTATGGATCACACGGTTAGTATGATGTCTGTCTGTCCATCTGCCTCTAGACACCTATTTTTTGCCATGGTAATGATAGTTCTAAAAAGCAGATATTACTTTACACATCATGTACTTTGAGGATAGGGAGGAACCATGTTGATTTTTTGGAGTTAAAAAGTCAAAGCCACCATTGAAAAAACAAACAAACTTGTTTTCTAGTCAAAAGAAAACATTTACAAAATGAATATAAAGCTAATGGTCTTAAGGATGAGCACTTTTTTTTTGGTATTTATGTATGAAGAATGCAGCATTGACAGCATGGTTCTAATCCTATTATGTCAGTGAATAATTTTTGGACATTTGTTTTTTAACAAAATATCAAATTATTTTTTATAAAGCTAATTTTTTATGTTAATATAAAACTGTTTTTTTGTTGTTTTTTTGCACAGATAATTATTCGTTGAAGTGCATATAAACATTGCTGCCTTGGGAAAAGTCTAAAAACTGCATTTTTCCAACTTTCACTTTTTATGGTAGTCAAAGTTACTGTTCTAATTTATCCCAAAACAGTAATTCCATAGGTACAATAAACTATTTTCGTTTTCTAATTGTTTTTGGTAAAAATACATTCCATTTCTGCTGATCTTAACCTCAAATAAACTGACAAGAAAAATTAAAATAAGCCAAAAACATTTATTATCAATTTATTCAAAAAAGAAAACATTTATTAGTTTGCTTTCTGTGTAGATAAAAATATTTATACTAATTGACTGATTCAGAACTTACACTACTAATAGTACGTGTAGATTATAAGTACTTATCACAGTGTTTCCTTTGCTAAGTCTGTCAATAATATAAAATATTAAATTTCTTTAATTCTAGGGTGATGGTTTTAGACCAAGGAAAGATTATTGAGTTTGATTCCCCAGAAGCCTTACTCAAAGATAGTACTACAGTATTTTATTCTATGGCCAAAGATGCTGGACTTGTATAATTACTTGTAAATTATAAAATAAGTGTGCTAAACAATTAAAGTGCAGTGTTTTTTACTGCATGTGGCAAGTTGAACCGTCGTCATTTGAATAATTTAAAATGTTGACATGAAAGTTTTGTGATTCTTTTAAATGTTTTTCATTCCTTGGTGATTTGTATTTATTTATATCAGATATATAATTGAATAAATTCCTGCTTATGAAATAGAAATGATTTCCCCCTGATATTAATCTAATAGCTCTGGTTAAATCGATACCACCTTTGTCTTTTTTGGTCAGTAATGAGACTTTGTTTTTTGGTGATGATGTTTTACTGTAATTAACATAGTCTAAGTTTTCCCCAGTTAAAACTAATTGGTAACTGCCCCTTCTTCAAATAGTTGTCATTTTACTAAATTTCATTACTGTTTATGTATGTGTGTATCGAATCATCTCATTTTTTTCACTATTTGTTATCTTTTGAAACAGTACACAAAGAAGGGAAAGTGCCTAGTGGCAATATCATTTAAACAAGTGTTATTTTGTAGATGTTTTCAATGTACTTCCAAAAAAAAGTGCCGAGTAAATTTGGAACTCTATTACAAATTAGT